AAAGTGTGTGTAACTGAAGTCAACCCTGACACTATGGCAATAAGGTAGGTAGTCCTTGTTGCATTCCAGAGTAGGAAATGGAAAAAAGTGTGTTTAACTGAAGTAAACCCTGACACTATGGAAATAAGGTAGGTAGTTGTTGGTGTGTTCCAGAGACAGAAATGAAAGAAAGTGTGTGTAACTGAAGTAAACCCTGACACTATGGAAATATGGTAGGTAGTCGTTGGTGTGTTCCAGAGACGGAAATGGAAGAAAGTGTGTGTAACTGCAGTGACCCCTGACACTATGAAAATAAGGTAGGCAGTCCTTGGTACGTTACAGAGTAGGAAATGGAAGAAAGTGTGTTTAACTGCAGTGAACCCTGAAACTATGACAATAAGGTAGGCAGTTGTTAGTATGTTATAAAGTAGGAAATGGAAGAAAGTGTGTGTAACTGAAATAAACCATGACAATAAGGTAGGTAAGAGTTGGTGCGTTCCAGAGTAGGAAATGAAAGAAAGTGTGTGAAACTGAAGTAAACCATGACAATAAGGTAGGTAGGAGTTGGTGCTTTCCAGAGTAGAAAATGGGAGAAAGTGTGTGCTGTAACTGAAGTAAACCCTGCCAATAAGGTAGGCAGTCTTTGGTACATTTCACAGTAGGAAAGGGAAGATAGTGTGTGTAACTGAAGTAAACCCTGACACTATGGAAATAAGGTAGATAGTCGTTGGTGTGTTCCAGAGACGGAAATGGAAGAAAATGTGTGTAACTGTGGTGAACTCTGACATTATGAAAATAATGTAGGCAGTCGTTGGTACCTTACAGAGTAGGAAATTGAAGAAAGTGTGTGTAACTGCAGTGAACCCTGACACTATGACAATAAGGTAGGCAGTCGTTAGTACGTTACAGAGTAGGAAATGGAAGAAAGTGTAACTGAAATAAACCATGACAATAAGGTAGGTAGGAGTTGGTGCGTTCCAGAGTAGGAAATGGAAGAAAGTGTGTGAAACTGAAGTAAACCATGACAATAAGGTAGGTAGGAGTTGGTGCTTTCCAGAGTAGAAAATGGGAGAAAGTGTGTGTTGTAACTCAAGTAAACCTTGCCAATAAGGTAGGCACTTGTTGGTACATTCCACAGTAGGAAAGGGAAGAAAGTGTGTGTAACTGAAGTAAACCATGACAATATGACCATAAGGTAGGTAGTCGTTGGTACATTCCAGAGTAAGAAATGGAAGAAAGCGTGTAACTGAAGTAAACCATGACAATATGACCATAAGGTAGGTAGTCGTAGGTACATTCCAGAGAAGGAAATGGAAGAAAGTGTGTGTAACTCAAGTAAACCATGACAATATGACAATAAGGTAGGTAGTCGGTGGTAATTTCCAGAGTAGGAAAGAAGAAAGATTGTGTAACTGAAGTAAACCATGACACTATGACATTAAGGTATGTAGTCGTTGGTGCTTTCTAGAGTAGGAAAAGGAAGAACGTGTGTGTAACTAAAGTAAACCCTGACACTATGACATTAAGGTAGGTAGTTGGTGGTATGTTCCAGAGTAGGAAATGGAAGAGTGTGTGTAAAGAAGTAAACCCTGACACTATGGCAATAAGGTAGGTAGTCGTTGGTGCATTCCAGAGTAGGAAATGGAGGAAAGTGTGTGTAACTGAAGTTAACACCGACACTATGGAAATAAGGTAGGTAGATGTTGGTGTGTTCCAGAGTAGGAAATGGAAGAAAGTGTGTGTAACTGCAGTGAACCCTGACACTATGAAAATAAGGTAGGCAGTCGTTGGAACATTCCAGAGTAGAAAATGTAAGAAAGTGTGTGTAACTGAAGTAAACCCTGACACTATGGCAATAAGGTAGGCAGTCGTTGGTACGTTCCACAGTAGAAAACACTACAAAAGTCTAAAAGTCTGAAAAGACCAGTTTTTGTCTTAATTTGCATGAACTTTTACTCGACATTCTCCAAAAGTATGACTTGTGTCTTAATTGTTCTTGACAAATTCTCATTTATATTAAATTTGTATGAAATTTACTCGACATATTCTCGACATTCTGAATATGGTCTTAAAATTTCTTGACAAATTCTTGACATTTGAATACTGTCTTGAAATTTCTCGACATATTCTCGACATTCTTATTTTTCTCAGTATGGCTTGACATATTCTGAACATTTTGAATCGTGTCTTAAATTTACTTGACAGTTCTGAGTTTTACAAATCATGACCAATATTCATGATATAACTTTAATCTTTATTTCTCTTTATATGATATACTGTTGTTTCAAGTTGCACTTCTTTACAACAAAAATAAAAGTTGGGCATGTAAAATAATTGAAAATTTGGGTATATAAATATTTTTACAAATGCAAATATGGCTATGAAATCTAAAGTATAAAATAATTCAAATGTGGGTGTGTTGATATAAAACAATTTCAATGTGGGATTTTAAATAATTACAAATTTTGATTCCTAAATCTTATAAATTAAATGATTCAAACCAATCATACTGTAGACATATTTCATTCTACATTCATAATATTCAATGTTGATATGGTAAATAATTATTATACCAAAATGTGGTTTATATAAATAGCAAATTATGATGATATACAAATCATTCATTTAACAGAAGAAAAATTTGTGTAATGTCATCTGTTGGAATATATTAAGTATTACACATGGACAGGATGTTCCCCATAAAATTAAGGTATTCCACACCCCAGAGTACACGCAACTGTCAAATAGAAGTTATTGCTTTACCTGTAATCAGCCATACAACTTATCAGTTGACCGACCATGCCACTACAATTTAAAAAGTTTGTTGATAGATGAAAATGAAAATCATCATTTTGATGAAAAAAATTTGAATTGAAATGGATTTTCTTCATCAAAATTATGAAGTTAATTATTTTAACATAAAAACAAATTGAATAATTCCAAAAGATTAAAAGAAAATTATTATCTACTCCAGGAATAATAAATATGTATTTATAATGGGTCCCATCAATGATTTCTATAGAAATCATCGGTCTTATGAAAAGGTTCTCACACAGACTTGCATAATATAGATCTAAACATTTTTTTCTTTTCAGGAAGGAGTTATCACAAATATTTATTTTTGATAAAAAAATTATAAAATTCAACACTCAAATTTGAATAAAAAATGTTTTTGGGTTGTTCTAAAAAATGAATAAGGTTTTTGAATCAAGATGGGAACAAATTCTTTGACCTAAACGAAAGCCCCCCCCCCCCCCTCTTTTTTTAGCTACACAGACCCAAAATATGAATTGTGGGGTCCAAAAGAGATACAAGACACCTATTTTAGTAAAGCAAATTTGACTTGCAGTTTTGCGAACGGCAAAAATCTAAATGCTGTTTGTCAATACCTTTGACTTATATTCCAAGTGAAAACAATTACTTAAATGTTTAATAAAAATAAATCAAAATTAAACTACATGGGGGATTATTCAGGGTATTGCAACTTAGTTGCACCAAAAGGGTATCTTACTATACCAAATTAATCCTTGATTCTTCAAAGTTTAGTTTAGCCATAATAAAAAGGAGTATACAACAGCAATAGAATGTCATAAACAGTGCAGAATAAGTCTGTTCACATTTCAGGCGAAATTTATACTGTTGAGATAGTGTCAAGACATTTTTAAGACTGTCAAGAATGTGTCGAGACATATTCAGACATTATTTAGAATGTCAAGAATATGTCGAGACATATTCAGACATTATTAAGAATGTCAAGAATATGTCAAGACAGATCGAGACAAATTTAAGACAGTCAAGAATTGGTCGAGACTAATCCAGACTCTTATCAGATGATACAGGAAGTGTCGAGAAATTTTAAGACAATGTTCATACTGTCAAGACACTTGTCAAGAAAAATCAAGAACCTTATTAGACAAATTCATACTATGTCGAGAATTTTTAAAAATTATTCAGACAAATTAAGAATGTCGAGAAAAAATTCATGCAAATTCAGACAAAAACTGGTCTTTTCAGACTTTTTGACTTTTGTAGTGAAAGGAAAGAAAGTGTGTGTAACTGAAGTAAACCATGACAATAAGGTAGGTAGTAGGTGCGTTCCAGAGTAGGAAATGGAAGAAAGTGTGTGTATCTGAAGAAACTACTTTTAAAACTCTGGTACTCAGACAAACCTTGCCAAGAGGTCACAATTTGAATTCATTCTTTTTAAAACTCTGATTTAAATTTGTACATCCCAGTCTTATTTTGTGTTGTTTTGAAAACAAAGAAAACAGACCTTATCCACAAAGAAGACTCTTAAAATTGAGAATGGAAATGGGGAATGTGTCAAAGAGACAACAACCCGACCATAGAGCAGACAACAGCCGAAGGCCATCAATGGGTCTTCAATGCAGCGAGAAATTCCTGCACCCGAAGGAGTCCTTCACCAGCCCCTAAACAAATATGTATACTAGTTCAGTGATAATGGACGTCATACTAAACTCCAAAATATACACAGGAGACTAAAATTAAAAATGATACAAGACTAACAAAGGCCAGAGGCTCCTGACTTGGGACAGGCGCAAAAATGCGGCGGGGTTAAACATGTTTTTTGAGATCTCAACCCTCCCCCTATACCTCTAGCCAATGTAGAAAAAACAAACGCACAACAGTACGTACCTTAAAACTCAGTATAAGAGAAGTCCAAGTCCAATGTCAGAATAGGAAACAAAAGAAAAAATAAACAAAATGACAATAATACATAAATAACAACAGACTACTAGCAGTTACTGACATGCCAGCTCCAGACCTCAATTAAACTGATTAAAAGATTATGTCTTCATCATATGAATATCAGGCACAATCTCTCCTGTTAGGGTTTTAGTATTATACCGTCATAAAATATACGAGAAGAACATAACCCGTGTCATGCCAACAACTGGTTTTAGAATAAATGTGTTAATCTAGATCTACATCTCTTTATTAAGGTATAGGAAATTAAACGATACGAAAATAACTTTCATGTTAAATGTAAATATACAAACCTGTTCCTGGTTCCAAACCTTCCAGTTGAGTTTAATGTTGTCACCATGGTTACAAATGCACTCATCAGTTTTAAAAGCTATCCTTTCTTCTGGAAAGTAACAGATAAATCTGGAGCAGGAATACTCAGTGTGAAATGGTAGTTGGCCGCTGAATTTTTCTTGGACAGTGGACTGATAAAATTCTGAAATCCTCTCCAATGTTAAATGCAAACATTCTCTGACACTAGTGGCTATTTCAGGTACTATCAGGCCCTTGGAGCGCTTGTGGACTAGGTACAATAAGATCTTATTTCCTTCTACACAGACAACGATATCATGCTCTTTATCAAATGATAACCCAACAAACCCAGAAAACATAAGTTTCCTTCCACGGTATTCTTTTAGTGTCCACATACTGAGACATGCGCATATGAGACGATTCGGTAAAGCTGGAGGTATAATGGTTCCTTTAAAAACAAAAGCCAAACTAACAGTCCTCTCTGGTGTACATTCTTGTGACAAGAAATCTGTATCATTTCTTTGTGTAAGCATACTTGGTACAAAGAAGTTTTCAACTAGTAGCCGACTTCCTGTTTTTGTATCATATCTACGCTGTTCAGATACGATATCAAGGTGTATCAGCATATCAAATATGTACTCTTTAAATGGTAAAATCTGACGGAATTCTTCTTGCTCCCAAATCTGGTAGAGATCTACTTTTTGTATTATTCCATTTTCAGACATCTTTTTGAAGGTTTTCCTTGTTTTATCTTCTTTTGGCCAAAATTCAACATCTATGAAAATGAAAATAAAAAAAATTATCTTAAGGTTTGAAATAAAAGTCAAACATATATTTATATTATACGGTATTACTTCTCTATAAAAGCTATATCGCTCACCTAGATCAGCACAGGAAAACAAACTAGTCTTGAATATTCAATTAAATGTCCTATATCAAAACAAATTAACTTTCCTAATTCTGTATTCAAAGCATTTGATGATCAAAATTGAATACTTTCCCATTTGGAAAAATAATACCCCAAAAAAGGCATGCATATTTCTTTAATAATGTGTGTACATGTTTTCTGTACTAGCAACATAAATGGCCATGGTGGAATGTGGTCTGAATGTCTAGTTCAATCTTGCTCCTTCTCATGATGAAAAATGTATTTATTTAGTTATAAAGTCCCTTACAGCCTTTTTGCATTTTTCTAAATGATTTTTTTTGGGTTTAATTATCATTGTTTTAATGTAAGAGTGATTGTTTATTTGAAGCCAGATATGGGTTATCAAACCGACCAAAGGTGCTAAATATCTTTTTCATTTTACAATTCAAAAAGACTTAAGTCATTTAATGGTTTAAAGAAAAAAATGCTACTTCTATTTATATCTTTAAGGGAAATCACCAATCATAAACAAAAAAATTCGTAAGGGTTCCACGGAACCCAGTGTCTCGCCTACTTTTGCTGTTAATCGCAGGCTCAACAAAAATGAGGAAAAAAAATAATAAAAATATTCCTCTCTATACTATCTTTCGATTGTAAGTAGCTTCTGTCCAAGTTTGGTAAAAATCCAGGATAGTTTATGAATCTAATAAATGTTTTAAAAACTTAAACTGCAGACTGTATGTTATGTTAACTGGAAGAAAAACTAAGTCCATTTATAAGTAAAATAAGGAAAAAATGGATTTATTTTTTTACAAAATTTACTTCTGGATACTATCTTATGATCATAAACAAGCTTCTGTCCAAGTATGGTACAAACCCAGGATAGTTTAAGAAAGTTATTAAAATTTTAAAAACTTTAACCACAGAGTGAATGTAATATTTCCCGGCAGAAAAACTAAGTCCATTTATAAGTAAAATACGGAAAAAATGGAATTTTATTTTTACAAAATTTACTTCTGGATACTACCTTGTGATCATAAACAAGCTTCTGTCCAAGTTTGGTAGAAATCCAGGATAGTCTAAGAAAGTTATTAAAATTTCAAAAACTTTAACCACAGAGTGAATATTTGTGGACGCCGCCGACGACTACGACGACGACAACGGAATGTAGGATCGCTACAGTACTTGCAACCTTAGGCGTTACTGTTTTAGCGATCAATCAGCGGTCATCGATCAGTCACCGATCAGTCAAGTTCGCGTCAAACTCACGTCACCAATCCGTCAGACTTATAGTAAAAGTATTTGACGGATCGGACGGATCGGACCGATCGACCTTTCTGACGGATTGAACCCTACTACGTCACATGATTAACTAATACAAATTACGAAATCTTAAGTTTCGTTTCATTTGATTAAAATGGCGACATGGAAAATACGAAACATTCAAGTACAAATGATCAGCATCTTTTTTTATTAATTATTTAGCACAGTTTTAAGAATTTAAAAAGAAAAGAAATATGCATATAAAACTTTTTAATTTAAATATAACTATTAAAGAATGGCCATTTTTGTTTTAATTTAGGTTATATTTCTTCAAACCCGGACATTTCTAAAACGGTGTTTATCGCGATTTTCAGTGATTTTATTATTTTCCGAAAATGATCTTGAAAATAAAATGAAATGATCATTTATTCCAAATTTCGATGTATTATTTTTAAATATTTTTAAGTATTTTATCCTTAAAATCTTATATAATTCTTTAAACAAACTTATCTCGAGGCCATTAAAATAACAAATCACAAATAAAAATAAAAATGCTGCAAATTCTCATAAAAATAAAAAATATTGGTAATTTTAAACAAGGAGAAAAACATAATAATATATTTTTTCTGATAGTCTCTTAACTTAATAAAAAATAATCAATCCTAAGCTATAAAAAGTACAAAAATCCAATGACGTTCAATAATTTCCTTTCAAATAAAGGAATTATTGCATTCTATTTCAACAAAAACAAAAGTTTATGCATATTTATCCTTCTTTATTCATATTTTATTAAAAATTACTTATCTAAAGGCATTTATAATGACTGATAGCAATTGCATTGCACTATTTCTGATATAAAAGAAGAAATATTTGTATTTTTATGCAATGCGAATATTAAATTAAGTATCTGATTCCTTAAATTCAACATATTTTATGAAATGCAACCAATCCTGATGTACAAAAAGTACTGAAATAAAATGGTGATTCATTATTTCTCTCAAGATGAAGATATTATTGCATTCATTTTGAACACCAACAAAAGTTTCAGCCTTATTCTACTTACAATATTAAAATTCTTATAAAAAAATAATCTTGAAGCCTTTGAAATAACTAGTTACAAATAACAATGCATTATTTTTTAACAAAACAAGAGAAATTGGTAATTTTTAACAATGCAAACAACATTTAAGGATAATTTCTATGATCTTCTTTTACTTTTATGAAAAAAAACCAATACTAAACTATGAAAAGTACAAACATCTAATGACAGTCAATAATTTCCATTCAAATAAAGAAATTATTGCATTCTTGTTCAACAAAAACAAAAGTTAATGCATATTTATCCTTCATTTATTCACATTTAATTAAAAAAAAATTTATATAAAGGCATTTATAATGACTGATAGCAATTGACGTTGCATTATTTCTGATATAAAAGAAGAAATATTTGTATTTTTAAGCAATGCGAACATTACATTTAGAATCTTTTCCCTTAAATTCAACATATTTTATGAAATACAACAAATCCTGAACAATAAGAGTACAAAAAACCATAGGCGTTCAATAATTTCCATTAAAAAAGAGAAATTATTGAATTCTTATTTAAAAAAAACAAAAGTTTATGTATATTTATCCTTAAATTATTCATATCTTATATAAAAGTACTTATCTGAATGCATTACTTATGACTGATTGCAATTGACGTTGTATTATTTCTGATATAAAAGAAGAAATATTTGCATTTTTAAGCATAGAACACAAATTTAATATCTTTTCCCTGCAATTCAGCATATTTTATGAAAAACAAGAGTGCACACGCTGAAATGTCTCGCCTTCTTTACTAATCATTGATATTATGTTGATAGTCCTAAATATAAAGCTTTATTACAACTGTCACATAAACTTAACATTAACCAAGTAAACTAAACATTGACCAATGAACCATGAAAATAAGGTCAAGGTCAGATGAACCATGCTAGGCAGGCATGTACAGCTAACAATTCTTCCATACAACAAATATAGTTGACCTATTGCTTATAGTTTAAGAAAAACAGACAAAAACACAAAAACTTAACACCGAGCAATGAACCTTGAAAATGAGGTCAAGGTCAAATAAAACCTGCGTGACTGACATATAGATCATAAAATATTTCCATACACCAAATATAGTTGAACTATTACATATAGTATTAGAAAAAAAGACCAAAACTCAAAAACTTAACTTTGACCACTGAACCATGAAAATGAGGTCAAGGTAAGATGACACCTGCCAGCTAGACATGTACACCTTACAATCATTCCATACACCAAATATAGCTGACCTATTGCATGCAGTATTAGAAAGAAAGACCAAAACTCAAAAACTTAACTTTGACCACTGAACCATGAAAATGAGGTCAAGGTCAGATGACACCTGCCAGCTAGACATGTACACCTTACAATCATTCCATACACCAAATACAGTAGACCTATTGCATACAGTATAAGAAAAACAGACCAAAACACAAAAACTTAACTATAACCACTGAACCATGAAAATGAGGTCAAGGTCAGATGACACCTGCCAGTTGGACATGTACACCTTACAGTCCTTCCATACACCGAATATACTTGACCTATTGCTTATAGTATCTGAGATATGGACTTGACCACGAAAACTTAACCTTGTTCACTGATCCATGAAATGAGGTCGAGGTCAAGTGAAAACTGTCTGACGGGCATGAGGACCTTGCAAGGTACGCACATACCAAATATAGTTATCCTATTACTTATAATAAGAGAGAATTTAACATTACAAAAAATCTTAACTTTTTTTTCAAGTAGTCACTGAACCATGAAAATGAGGTCAAGGACATTGGACATGTGACTGACGGAAACTTCGTAACATGAGGCATCCATATACAAAGTATGAAGCATCCAGGTCTTCCATCTTCTAAAATATAAAGCTTTTAAGAAGTTAGCTAACGCCGCCGCCGCCGCCGCCAGATTGCTATCCCTATGTCGAGCTTTCTGCGACAAAAGTCGCAGGCTCGACAAAAACCAACCCTGATGTACAAAAAGAACCAAAATCAAATGACGGTTCATAATTTCTATCAAAATAAAGAAATTATTGCATTCTTATCAAACAAAAACAAAAGTTTATGCATATTTATCCTTCAATGATTCACATTTTATACAAAATTACTTATCTAAAGGCATTTATAATGACTGATTGCAATTAAAGTTGCATTATTTCTGATATAAAAGAAGAAATATTTGCATATTTAAGCAATGCAAACAAAAATTTAGTATCTTTTCCCTGAAATTCAGCATATTTTATGAAAAGCAACCAATCCTGATACAAATGACCGTTCATAATTTCTATCAATATAAAGAAATTATTGCATTCGTATTCAACACAAAACAAAAGTTTAAGTATAATTCTACTTACATTATCAAAATTCTTAAAAAAAAAATCTAGTTTGAGGACTTTGAAATAACAAGTTACAAAGAACATTGCATTATTTTTTATCAAAAGAAGAAAAATTGGTAATTTTAAAGAATGCGAACAACATTTTAGCATATTTTCTCAGATATTATTTTGATTTTATAAAAAACAGCCAATCCTGAACCATAAAAAGTACAAAAAACCATAGGCTTTCCAATAATTTCCATTAAAAAAGAGAAATTATTGAACACTTATTTAATAAAAACAAAAGTGTATGTATATTTATCCTTAAATTATTCATATCTTATACAAAGTAATTATTTGAATGTGTTTACTATGACTGATTGCAATTGCAGTTGCATTATTTCTGATATAAAAGAAGAATTATTTGCATATTCAAGCAATGCGAACAAAAATTTAGTATATTTTCCCTGAAATTCAGCATACTTTATGAAAAACAACCAATCCTGATGTACAAAATGTACCGAAACAAATGACGGTTCATAATTTCTATCAATATAAAGAAATTATTGCATTCGTATTCAACACAAAACAAAAGTTTAAGTATTATTCTCCTTACATTATCAAAATTCTTACAAAAAAAATCTTATTGGAGGACTTTGAAATAACAAGTTACAGACAACATTGCATTATTTTTTATCAAAAGAAGAAAACTTGGTAATTTTAATCAATGTGAACAACATTTTAGTATATTTTCTAAGAAATTATTTTGATTTTATAAAAAACAACCAATCCTAAACCATAAAAAGTACAAAAAGCCATAGGCAGTCAATAATTTAAAATTGAAATAGAGGAATTTTGAATTTTTATCAAACAAAAACAAAAGTTTATGTATATTTATCATTTTTATCAGTAAATTATTCATATCTTATACAAAAGGACTTATCTTAATGCATTAATTATGACTCATTACAATTGACGTTGAATTATCTCTGATACAAAAGAAGACATATTTACATTTTCAAGCAACATGAACAAAAATTTAGTATCTTTTCCCTGAAATTCAGAATATTTTATGAAAAACAACCAATCCTGATGTACAAAAAGAACCAAAAACAAATGATGGTTCATAATTTCTATCAAAATTAAGAAATTATTGCTTTCTTATCTAACAAAAACAAAAGTTTATGCATATTTATCCTTCAATTATTCACATTTTATACAAAATTACTTATCTAAAGGCATTTATAATGACTGATAGCAATTGTTGTTGCATTTTTTCTGATATCAAAGAAGAAATATTTGCATTTTTAAGCAATGCAAACAAAAATTTAGTATCTTTTCCTTGAAATTCAGCATATTTTATGAAAAACAACCAATCATGATGTACAAAAAGTACCTAAATCAAATGACGGTTCATAATTTATGTCAAAATAAAGAAATTATTGCATTCGTATTCAACACAAAACAAAAGTTTAAGTATTATTCTCCTTACATTATCAAAATTCTCACAAATAAACAAAATCTTATTGGAGGACTTTAAAATAATTAGTTACAAATAACATTGCATATTTTTTTATCAAAAGAAGAAAAGAAAAATTGGTAATTTTAATCAATGCAATCAACATTTAGGTATATTTTCTCAGATATTATTTGGATTTGAAAAAAAACAACCAATCCTGAACCATAAAAAGTACAAAAAGCCATAGGAGGTCAATAATTTCCATTAAAATAGAGAAATTATTGAATTCTTATTTAACAAAAACAGAAGTTTATGTATATTTATCCTTAAATTATTCATATCTTATACAAAAGTACTTATCTGAATGCATTAACTATGACTGATTGCAATTGAAGTTGCATTATTTCTAATATAAAAGACAAAATATTTGCAAATTTAAGCAACGCGAACAAAAATTTAGTATCTTTTCCCTAAAATTCAGCATATTTTATGCAAAACAACCAATCCTGTTGTATAAAATGTACCGAAATCAAATGACGGTTCATAATTTCTATCAAAATAAAGAAATTATTTAATTTGTATTCAACACAAAACAAAAGATTAAGTAAAATTCTCCTTCCATTATCAAAATTCTTACAAAAAAAATCTTATTGGAGAACTTTAAAATAACTTGTAACAAATAACATTGCATTATTTCTATCAAAAGAAGAAAAATTGGTAATTCTAAATAATGCAAACAACATTTTAGTATATTTTCTCAGATATTATTTTGATTTTATAAAAAAACAAACAATCCTGAACCATAAAAAGTACAAAAAACGATAGGCGTTCCAATAATTTCCATTAAAAAAGAGAAATTATTGAATTCCTATTTAATAAAAACAAAAGTGTATGTATATTTATCCTTAAATTATTCATATCTTATACAAAATTAATTATCTGAATGCATTAGTTATGACTGATTGCAATTGACGTGTATTATTTCTAATATAAAAGAAGAAATATTTGCATTTTTAAGCAACTCGAACAAAAATTTAGTATCTTTTTCCTAAAATTCAGCATATTTTATGAAAAACGACCAATCCTGATGTACAAAAAAGAACAAAATAATGAAATGATTGCATCTTTAATCAACACAAATTAAAGTTTAAGTATTTTAATATTCATTTTATTTAAATTCTATCAAAGAAACTTTTCTTGAGGCCTTTTAAATAACTAATCAGAAATAACATTGCATTATATGTGATAAGAAGAAGAAATATTGGCAGAGACATACATATGTCTCTGATATTGGTAATCTAGAACAAACATTAAAACAACACTCTAAATTAATTAATCCAAACAAAGCTGTATGTATCTTTACTGTTATACTATTTTTATTTTCTTCATCTAACGACAACAAATAGAGTACTTATTTTAAATGATAACATTTTATCGCTTTTTAGTGGTACATAATTAACGAGTAAAGGTGTCTTCGTAGAGGTCGGCGTTTATCGACTGTAAATACTGTCAAGTTCGTAATACATAAGAATTTTAATTATATATGTATCCGTCCGATCCGTGCATTCAATTAATTTACTGATCGATCGCTGACCGTTGTCACGGTAACTCTCACATAGCCTATTTGACGTATCTGACGGATTCTATGGGTCATCGATCACCGATCAGTCATCGATCAGTCAAACATCCGTCACGATCATTCACCGATCAGTCAAGTTCACGTCAAACAGTAACGCCTAAGGTTGCAAGTACTGTATGTCTCGCTCTTTTGACTAAAGTCGAAGGCTCGACAATGAAGGACAACACAATGCAAAAATAAATACGAGAAGAAAGTCCACTGGGTATATTTAGATAAGTGTATTTCCTAACAACATTTGTAAAGTTGTTGGTTGTCCATCTTAATTTATAAAACTGATTTTCTTCTTGCAATTTTGTTTTGCTGGGGAGATTATGTTTAAAGAAAGCAGAGTCATCAATCATAAGTTTTAAAGGGTTTCATCCCTTGTTCTCAAATTCATCATCTAAACAAAGGTCTACAAAACGTCACGATGAAAACTATATGTTTTAAAACAATATATGGTTGTTCTCGTAAATATTCAAAATATTGGGTAGAAACAATCGTTTAACAATGATGCAAGTGATGACGGATGTGTTAACATTATGAAATTAACTTCAATATATTATGCCAAGATTCACTTGAGAGTTACAAAAGATGATGTATGACAGTCATCCAGGATGACATCTTGTCAGTCAATTGCTGTCTTTGATCTTAACTTTATGTTCATTTTTTTAGTTATTTTTTCGGGGTAAAGTCTACTTCTACTAGTATACGTTTTTTATATAGATTAGACCGTTGGTTTTCCCGTTTGAATGGTTTCACACTAGTAATTTTTGGGGCCCTTTATAGCTTGCTGTTTGGTGTGAGCCAAGGCTCAGTGTTGAAGACCGTACTTTGACCTATAATGGTTTACTTTTATAAATTTTGACTTGGATGGAGAGTTGTCTCATTGGCACTCATACCACATCTTCTTATATCTATATAGTATTCTAATTCAAAAGTATTTTTAATAGATTTTGACTTGATCTAAATAATACATTCCTTTGGCTGGGTTAAGTCTTTGTTTTATTTCCCAGTCATGGTATATAATAGTTCAATAGTTGATAACTGGATTGATGGCAGTGTATTTCTAACAGACAAATATGATATTAACTTTACAAGGAATTCATGCTCCGTATTTTAGGTTCAGATTTTAGGATGAGATTCTTTCCCCAATACAACTAGAAACTGAGAAGATTTGCATTTTTGACTGGCTAAAAATACTTCATTTTCACAGTTGTAAGAGTTGCAGTATGAATAATATTTCTACACCTTGTCTCAAAACATAATTGTGTTGGTACTTAATTGAAACCAGGATAGGAATACTTGCATTCTCAAAGTTTCTATGCATTGTTCAAATATATTCTATATTTAGAAACTATGTAGTTCTATAGTTATACCTAAACCTTTATACCTATTAAATATCAGTTTCAGTTTAAACTAAAAAAAAAATTTTCAAAATTTGCAACTGTATTTTTACAAACATTACAAACCGTAAGGGAGCTACCATTTGATTTTTATGGGGGGGCTAGGATGAAATTTGAAAAAAAACGGCAGGACAGGAGTTTCGAGTAAAAAAAAAAGGCAGGATGCGCAACTTTGCAAAAAAAAAAAGGCAGGATGACAATTTATGTAAAAAAAGTCAGGATAAACTAATAAAAAAAAAGGCAGGACCAATTAGAATGAAAAAAGGACAGAGATTACAACTAAAAAAAAAAAGGCAGGACAAAATATTTCATCCTAGCCCCCCCATAAAAATCAAATGGTAGCTCCCTAAGTTAAAACAGCCATCTTCTCCAAATTTTCACAACAGAATAAAATAATTGTCTGCAATTCACAAATATTAACGCTGTGAAAAAAAAAAGATCAATTTTGACTAACTGTATTACATAAAAGTTCTGACAAACCAACAAAAAGATTAGTATAGGACACCGTTCATCAGTCCCCAGTGCTCTTAAAAATGGCTGGTAAACAATATTTTGGTATGTTGGGTTTTTACCAGCAATATAATTACTACTCAATGAAAATATAAACACACCAGTAATGAAAGATCTCATAACTTCCACCATAAGAAGGGGACTTATGATAACGTTATCTCTCAGCTGTGGGGTGTCAAAATAAACAATCTTTCCGAGAGAGTGTTGATAATGTAAAAAAACTGTTAGCTGCTCAGGAGACAGGACAGACACCTCGCTGATGGCATTTAATTCTTTAATTTCAGCCAATGACATAATTTGTTTTCCTTCTGCCACTAATTCAGCGATCTCGAGCTCTAGTGGTACACAAGCATTGGGCATTCTTTCACCCCAACATGGGTGGTCGAATGTAAGTTCTGTAATTGTTTTCCTCAGAACATCTATTTCTTGGTCAGCTTGATCTTTTGCATTGACAAATATTAGAGGCCTAAAGACCAGATGATGTTGTCCCTCATGGTCTTTAAACAACTCCTCAATTTCACTGTAAAGCTCTTCACGTCGTGTCTCAACATTCTCCTGTTAAACATAAAAAGTTGACAGATAAATACACTGTAAAGATCCTGTATCCCACACCATGATGTATATGCACCTTCAATGGTGGAATATTCCAACTACAAGATATAATTAGATTTATCTCAAATTTTCAAATGACATAAATACATGTACCTCGAGTACAACTTATCTTTCTTATGTATTTTTCTACATCTACTCTTACAGGTCAATTTTATACTTTTAACCTAAATCTTATACTTTTAACAGTCCGAAACTGTTAACAGTTGTTAAATCTTACATTCCAAGGGGAATAAATTGAAAAGGGTCTTTAGAATTTATTTTTTTTGAAAGAAGAACTTGCTATTGATATTTGTTTTTGTAATTCACTTTACCAGCCTAGTATAGAAACACTAGTAAACAAAATAAGTCACATTTAAAAAGTTGGCAATAAATCTAAAACAGGTCAAGAGGGTATTTGCGTGAACATATGGATATTGTTTAATTTAAATTTGCAGTTATAAAAAATTGAACTTATTCTAAAATAAAGCATGAATTGTCCTCATGCATTCCTTGTCCAGATTAGGCTATATATACTTTTTGATTTCACCAACTCATCAACATTTGTATTATGCTTTAGACTTTCAAATATTTTGGCCTCTAACATCACTGAAGAGACATTACTTGTTGAGAAGTGCATCTGGTGCAGTTCTACTAAATGCTAGAGTTTCTTATTGACAACATATTTGTTGAAATAAAACTGACTTAAATACAAACTTTAACATTTAAAATGAGCAATTGTTTTAAGTCAATAGACCATGACTGAGAGTGGCAGGACCAAATAATCTCCACTGAAATGAGATGTACATATCAAATGGAATATTGATACAAGAGCATACCAAATATCATTTACTTATCTATTAGTAGTTCTTCATAATTATCTTCTACTCTATTTATGACCCATAATCTGATCTTTAGTGTATTACCCAAAATCAATAGGGATCTTGTTCTTTCAAAAGTGTAGTTTCACACAAAGTTTGGTCAAGTTAAGACATATGGGCATGACATCATTATGTAAGCATAAAAGCTCTAATGAGGCAGTTTTTACACATTTTTCAAGTGTTTCAAATGGCAATAAATCACTATTATATAGCTAACATTAGATCACTCACCTTTGGTACTTTGTCCTTGTGAGTGGCAACAAACAAGATCTTAGGAATGCCTGGATATACAACCTTGCAATAGGTCAGGATGGAATTGACCCAATATTGCAAGAATACTGAAAAAAAATCAAAATCTGTCATAAAAGAAGTTTAATCATTCTGCATTTCTTATAGTTTTGATACACTATAAGTTTTCCATTGTCTCTTTTAATAACACCTTATTAAACAAGCATTCTGAGATTATTGCATGGCAATACATAATCCCCCACCGGTTAAACATTATTTTGGACTGGAACAAAATGGTAATTCGATCTATAACTTGTCATGGTGTAAAGTATATAACAAATATCAAGTCAATATCTTCATGCATGCTGAAAAAATGTGTGGAAAACTGTTTATTTAAGTGAATTTTCTAGGTCAAAGGACCATAACTCTGCACAAAATTATCAGAAGGGAACAAAATTCGATTTTGATCTGTAACTTGTAATGATAAAACAATATATCAAATATCAAAACAATATCTTCAAGCATGAAGAAAAATGGTGTGGAAAACTGATTTGCTGGACTGACGGATGAACAGACAGACAGATGGACCGAGTGCAAACCTAAAGTCCCCTTCGACTTCGTTGGTAGGGGACTAAAAAATATTGCTGAATACTTGTCAAGCTCATTCACTTAAACAGCTGATAACAGTTTTCCTTGAGGTAGGAGTCTGTCTAAATTAAAAGGGACAAATATTTTTGTCTATATCTATAAACTACATTGTTGTAATTTTTCATCAGTCTATTTCATTACAGGGTGGATGATATCAAAGGAAGGCACATAGAAAATAGGTTAACAATGCATAGAGACCTGCATACAATTAAAATGTTTACAAACTAATATTTCACACCACAGTTGAAGTTGACTAAATGCATAAAAGTACATTGAATGATGCTCAATAACTAGAAGTTAAAATTGTCTTTTAAAATATAAGTTGCATATAAGGATCATAAAGTAGAATCCTGACTGTTGTGGAAATCAATCTAAGAATACTAGACTTAGTATGTGGTATGTGTAAACTGGTCTGCCATTCCATCTAAATATCTGCACCAAAGGAATGAGTTGGAGCCATTGTCACCTTGGCATTAATTGGACGAGCCTTACACATTCAAAGATTTGCTACGAAATTGACCAACTATATTGACAGGAACTTTTAACAACTTGACCTCAAATGATAATAATGCAATGCCGCAAATTAAATAAATAACTGTTAATTAACTCCATGGTGGCAGCGCAGATAAATGCCCCACGAGAGTGTTATCATATTCTTGACAAACTGAGCCGGTATCTTTCATTGCCTTGAGAACTCAATAGGTATAGGAATGTGCTGATTTCTCTTTTGAGTTCTTGTCAGTATATTAATTACATAATAAACACATCATATGATGCACTTGTCTCGTCTAAATTATTAAATCACGCAGACCCAATGCTGACCGCTGGATTCAGGTTGTACCTGTTGTTAGTGTAGCGATAAGTGAACACAACAGGGGTCAAGGTTATGGTATACTTGTGCAAAATGTTAAATGTTTTAGGAATAAAATCCCATCACTGAAATGACAAAAGTGAAAATGATGAACACTGAAATGGAGTTTCTTTTATCAACTCAAGTTCTGTGATAATGTTTGAGTATTTGTACAACATTTGAAAAAATAAATGGGGAATGTATCCATGGGACACAAGTTATGCCCCCGCTTGCATATCATATACAGTTATAAAGGTACATAACTGAAGAACTGTAAAAGTGAAACCATCAAAATTCAAATTTGATCTGTATTTTGTGGTAATAAGCATTGTGAATAAGTTTCATAACATTTTAATTGAGGCAAACTAGAGTTAGAGAACGGATAGAAAATTTCAGCAATTTTTAATTTTATAAAGGGGCATAACTCAATAACAGTAAAATAAACGCCACCCAATTTCCAACTTGATCTGTATTATGTGGTAATAAGCATTGTGTATAAGATCATAACATTTGGTTGAGGCAAACTAAAGTTAGAGAACATAAACGAAAAATTCAGCAATTTTTATGTTTATAAAAGAGCATAACTCAAGAATGGTAAAAGCGACGCCACCCAGTTTCCAACTTGATCTGTATTATGTGGTAATTAGCATTGTGTATAAGTTTTATAACATTTGTTTGAGGCAAACTAAAGTTAGAGAAAGGAAACGAAAAATTCAACAATTTGAAAAGAGTCATAACTCTAGAACAGTTATAGTGATGCCACCAAAATTCAAACTCAATCTGTGTTTTGTGGTAATTATCATTCTGTATCAGTTTCATAACATTTGGTTGAGGCAAACTAAAGTTAGAGAACTGAAACCAACTTTACGACGTACGGACGAAGGACGGACGGATGTACAGACGGACAAGGGTAAAACTTAATGCCCCCTCTGCTATGGCGGGGGCATGAAAATGTCCAATTTGTAGTAAACATAACTCTGATATGATAAAATTTGAAAATCGTGTAAATCAGTAAGGACCTTTATTCCTTCAATCCAAACTTAGGTTAAAATAAGAACTGATTAAAGCACATTTTACTTTTTGTATGAAATGTTGATGGATAGACCGACAGACTACAACATACCATATGCTATGTTCTTATGGAAAGCCAACGGGGTCAAAATTCTTATTTCGTAACTTGTCAATTTGTATAAACTTGTATCTTTGTAATTTCAAAATTCTTACTTCGTAAATTGTCAATTTGTAACTTGTATCTTTGTTATTTGAAAATTCGTAATTCGTAAATTGTTAATTTGTAACTTGTAACTGTGTGATTTCAAAATTCTTTATCGTAAATTGTCAATTTGTATATTGATGTTTTGTAACTTGTCGATTCGTTAAATGTCGATTCGTAAATTGTCAATTTGTATATTGTTGTTTTGTAACTTGTCGATTCGTTAAATGTCGATTTGTAAATTGTCAATTTGTATATAATTGATGTTTTATAACTTGTCGATTCGTTAAATGTCGATTCGTAAATTGTCAATTTGTATGTTGATGTTTTGTAACTTGTCGATTCCTTAAATGTCGATTTGTAAATTGTCAATTTGTATATAATTGATGTTTTGTAACTTGTCGATTTGTTAAATGTTGATTTGTAAATTGTCAAATTGTATGTTGATGTTTTGTAACTTGTCGATTCGTTAAATGTCGATTTGTTAATTGTCATTCTGATAGTTGTATTATGCTAACGACCATTATGACGACAGATGGCGCTTGGTTTCCTCTTCGGTGTATAAGCCTCCTGTAAGTAGGAGCACTTCCATGTGGAGTATATACCTAAGTAATTTTATAAATCAATTATGTACAGCATATACAAATAAAAGAAAATAAATAGATAAACACATTGTTTGGTTTATATGGCATATATACCAGGGACTGGGTTTTATATAGAGGTGACCTCGAATAAACATGTTTGTCTTCCGGACTGGTCAACACACCTGGGAGGGGTGTGTCACTTCCTGTATTTAGGTATATACTGATGTGTCGCTGGAATGGGCTCACTTATCAACTTCGCAAATATGTTACTGTCACTTGGCAGGAAATTTCTTTTTAATATTTGACCGGGTCAAAATTAGACTAAATACATGAAATAAAAGACTAAGCTGAAAAGTTCATACTTATATTGTTCGGGGCCGCAAATTTTGGACTAAATGTATGATGGGAGAAATGGGTTGACACCATGGCCATTATTCCTTAATATTATAATTAAGATATTGGAAAAGAATGTAATTTATATCTAATGATTTTTTAATACAAAAAGCGCTGAAATTAATGAAAAATCTTTATTTATTTGGCTCTTGAGTAAAGATGATAAAAATGTTTTATATCATGTACTTTGCAAAACAAATATTGAATGAAGTGTTATTTTAAATGAGTCACTTAATTGATGTATACTATATATTAAAACTGTATTAGATATGTAATATTTTGTAATAAAATCTAAAGGAAACAAAAAACTTATCAAAGACCTAAAATGGACTACCCATATTTTCATCGTAACCAAGAATGCAAACTCAACCGTGACTAGGGTTCCTGATAAGGAATTTGAGATATTGCCCACCAGCCGAATGCAAGAAAACCGCATATATTTCACTTGTCAATATTGGGAGTATGAAACAATAGTATATGGGACCCCTACACATCTACGAACATCAACAAGCTTGAAAGGATACAGCGACAAGCTGCAAGATATATAACGAGGAGGCTACAAATCCAGAGAAGATGGTTGCGTATCAAACACGCTCTTCAAAGACAAACAGACAAAACACTTAAGCCATAAGCGAATATTTCCGTACGAGGTGGTTGAGGGGCTGGTTCTTGCTATGTGAAAAAACAGATCAAAAACTACACAAAGTGTTTTGAGATTTTAACGATCAATCCCACATTCCAACTCATTTTTCGTAAAAACGGTAATCGATTGATACCTCCTTGAAGACACTTTAGTGCGCACACTGAACGTTGACAGCTTCAGATACTGCTCTCGTCACCGTCAATAACTTCTTAGCTTCTTGACCAGAAAAGTTTAGTAGGCATGTACAAATGAATGTTAATATATATATATAACATTAAACACGTCTAAATTGAAAACAACGTCCAAACCTATGATTGCGTTGGATAAAAACCTCAATTTTATACGTGTGCATGTAAAACATATTTTGTTATAGAGGGGTCTAAATACAGCACAAACAACATTATATAAAATTATATATATATGTCCCCCCTTCCCCTTGAGACCTCTGTCAGAATTAAAATAGTCCGATAATAGCATTTTAGGATTAATAGAAACCGTTTATTACCTGGATTTTCACGTACTGGTGTAGCCTTTTATATCCGACTATATTGATTGGGTTTTTCTCATTGTTGCCTATAATTGCTTACATCAACTGTATTTGAACTTTGTTGGATAATTGTCTCATTGACAATCATACTGTTTATTACCACATCTTATATCTATTTACCGGAATAATTCAGTCGCAATGTTCCGCTAATCTACGACTACTTCATTAACCTCGCAAGTAGGAGAGATCGATTAATTACGTGAAGGGAATGAACTATTTGGGTTGTATTTTTCATATGGTTTCCGTTCTCGAACGATACGCCACCTTTTGTCTTCAGAAAACAAAACAAAAAACGGGTTTCTGTATACATGCCATATAAAAATGTTATTATTCTATTTGTGTTCTTTGAGATGCATTTGCTGTACATAATTGATTTAAATTACTTGGGTATATATTCCATATGGAGGTGCTCCTACTTACAGAAGGCTGATTCACCGAAGAAGAAACCGAGTGCCATCTGTCATCATAATGATCGTTAGCATAATACAACAATGACAATTTACAAATCGACATTTAACGAAACGACAAGTTACAAAACATCAATATACAAATTGAAATTTTGCGAATCGACATTTAACGAATCGACAAGTTACAAAACATCAATATACAAATTGACAATTTACAAATCGACATTTAACGAATCGATAAGTTACAAAACATAAATATACAAATTGATAATTTACCAATAAACAATTTAGAAATCACACAGTTACAAGTTACAAATTGACAAGTTAAGTAGTAAGAATTTTGACCCCGTTGGCTTTCCATATGTTCTGTCTAAGACAGGTGTATATGTGACAACGTCTGACAAAATGGGCCCAGATGCCGTAAAACATAATTTGGCTATGACGTTCCAAAGACAGGTGTATATAAATGTGCTCAGTTCAGTATGTTGACATTCAAACATTAAACAAAATTCAAACTTTATCTGTATTTAGTCATACCTGTCATTTGACCTGTATCCTGCGGGTGTGACCCAAGATTTTTACAACTCTGAGGGGTCACCCCGGATACCCGCTGGGTCGTTAAATAACCCGGGAATTCCGAAAATGATCCGTTTTTACCCGGATTCTTAATCCTTCAGATTGATTTCATAAGTGATTTTCCTTTGAAATACCGTCAAATTCGTAATTCTTCCTGGACAAGAAGTTCAACTAGCTGTGTAAAATCAAATTAAGTGACCCATTTCAGTGCATGGCTTCACTTGACAGCTTCGGTGTCAAACACACTGTTAATTAACACCAATTACCTTAGTTTTAAGTCATAAACAATTTGTGTATTTCAAAGTTTTTTAACAAAAAATTTCAGTAACTTCCCCTTTTTTGTCAATTTATGTTAATTTTTGAAAAAAGATTAAATCTAAAACAAATTGAATGCAAATACATAATTGAATATTACTTTTCATTATTTTTCTACCTTAGTACAATTAGAAAATAAATAGTTGAAAATCATTTTTTTCATCACTACTTTTAAGTGTTTAGCTTATTTTATTATATTCTAACATCAATTTTTTTTGAGTAATGACCGTGAAAGGGCTGTATAGCCAGTCAAGGTCGTTAAAAACTTCCATATATATTTGAGTAAATGTTTAAAGCTGTACAGATAGAAGCACACTGAGTGACATATGACTGGTCAATTGATTATAATAAAAAAATGGTTATGGTTTGGATTGTATTGTTTAAGTATTTTATGAAACATTAATCCATCAAAATCATAAGTGCAATTCAACAATAATAGTTTTAAATTATTTTCAGTTAATACTTAATCATTGGAACATGTTTAGAAACTGTTTGTTTTGAAATATAATAACAAATATATAAAAAAAATGTCCCCTAAATACTTAAATTCAGCTGGAAAAAGGTTTGTACGCGTAATGACCGGAGATTTTATTCTTCAATGCAGGTCATTTTCATAGGTTGACAGGTATGTTTTGTGGTAATAAGCATTGTGTATAAGTTTCATAACATTTGGTTGAGGCAAACTAAAGTTAAAGAACGGAAACCAACTTTGAGACGTACAGACGGACGGACAAGATAAAACTTAAGCCCCCGCCGTAGCATACACTGTGTATGCTTATTATAGTTAGAAGTGAGAAATCATCAGCTTATTTTTTCAGAGAAGTAAACACACTTTCAAAATCTAAAGAAATTTAGAGGAAAGCACAACAGAGTTGTCTGGTGTTCAAAACTTTACGCCTGGTATCTTTGATAAATTTTGAATGCAATATTATTGTCTTACCTAACACCAATGCTGCTTGATGCGAGACATATTAATGTTAATATGGTGGTTGGGGACAAACTATGGTAACAAGGAAATAAATTACGTAAATGTTTAGGTTTGCTAAGATATTTTGAAAGGACAAGTTTCTATAATTTTAAATAATTGCCTTGCTGTTACATAAATAGACTAGATCTGTAAATAACATGTATTTTTATTACCTGCTGGAGTTGGTGTCATGTGCTGCCCTGGAAAACACATCACATCAGGGACCTGTTCATGCAAATCTTTGCTCCCATCGAAGACAACAAGAAATAACGCTCGGAACGTCATGAAGGTCTGGTGTGTTGTTAAATAAACATATTGTCCACCAAAATCCCAGAAGATAAGACGTCCAACTTTCATCTTATACTTCCCACTTTTGAGGACTTTTTCCATTTTCCTTCTTATTTCTTCTTTGGTCATTCTGGTTTTCATTTTCTCTTTCATCTGTTTTACCATGAGAGGCACATTGGAGGATTTTTGAGGTGGTAGAGATTGTGCTGCTGCCGACTGTTCGGAGGGCAAAGAGGAAAGTGTGGCTTTGACATAACCAGTTGGGCTTGTATCTGAAGCCTGGTCGAACTTTTTGGTTAATTCACTTTCCTCCTCTTCCAGAGAGGTCATTAACACCTTATTGTACACAACATCCAGGGCATTATAAGCTTCTGAAATTATATTTTATTAGTTTACCAGATCTTGATATTGATAAACAATAAAAACAGAGCATGTGAAAAACGCAACATATAAGTGAATTAAAGGAGCCTTGACAGTTGTTAAATGATTTGTTGTATTAAATTTGTTCTTTAAGAACCTGTTATTTTTATTTACCTTCAAGGGCACGTGTGTTTACATTCTTTCATCACGGTTTTCCCCTCACACTTGAGCTGTGCAGTGGCCGAAGCTATAACGAGAGGTCTTGCAGTTAAGGTCACTGCATACAGGAAAATGTCGGCGAAGTAGTGTCTGGGAAGCCAATAATTCAATATCGGTACATTTATGAAGATTTGGCTAATATAAAGGATTTTTTTTCGAAAATAACAGTTCACGTTCACTTCTTTTAGAGTAAAACTTAGCCATTCAAGTATATAAAACATGTTTAACTTTTTTTTAAATTTGAAGTTTCATATGACTTTAGATTCCTTTTAATAAGTAAAATAATAATGTTAAGATTTTCATTCACAAATAAGATTCAATATTGAGGTGTAATACCACCAAATCATAGTACATCACATCTGGTTGCATACGAAAAAGGGTCAAAAAAAATATTCCGTTGAATTTGACAGTTGTAGGAAATTAATCCTACATTTCATTGCAGTAAAAAATGTCTATGTCATAAACATATATCTTGGGTGTTTCAAAGCACCATTATTTTTTTTTTATTTGGTGTTTCTATAGAAATTTTGGAAAATTGAGGTTACATTGTTACTAAAGCATGAACACTGAAAAAAAGGGGTGAAAATTTGATTGGTTAACTTCCAGTGATGGTTATTTTCTTATATGCATTGAAATGTTATGTGAAATTTTGTCTATTTTACTGGACAGGATAAAACTTTACTCATGCCAAGTATTTATGTATTTGACACAAAGATAAATTCTGCAAATTTTTTTGAAAAGTGCAAACTTAACATGGATTAATAGAGGAAAATCAATGGTGGTATTACACCTTGAATTAAATTGGTGCCTGAAAAGAAGTAACAAAATATATGGCTTCAATGTGATACTATTTAAAACAATGCTATTAAAGTCTGCTGATAAAACACAGCGGTCCACACAACAGTGTTTTTTGAAATATGGTCAGATGTTTCTACTTATGCCTTTTCTAACCTGGATCAATAAGAATCCAACTTTTTGTCTCAATATCAAGGCCACAGCGACCTTCAACCAAAGAAATTCCATCAGTCGGATGTCGCCCATCTGGTATGACATCCCCAGCTAACAGCTTCACAAGAGTCGATTTCCCTACTGAAAATTGGCCGGTTACCATGCATCTCATATCAAATGATTCATAGCTGCCCTTCCCTAATAAACGATTTAACATAGCAGACTGTTGCCCTTTACCGATGGAATCTGAAAAAAAAAAAGTTAAAATTTCATCATGTTTGTGAAAAAAAAAATGTATGCTTACACATAATTGTAGATAATTTCTCCACTTTTTGTCTCTGACACTGGACACTGTCAAAGATAAAATTTTTTCATCTTGAAAAATGTTTTGTTTCAACAGATCTGATCGTGAATCGATACTTCAATGTGTTGATGTTTGAGTCTGTTAATGTGTAAATCTGTCAATGTGTCAATATGTCAATGTGTTTATCTGTCAGTGTGTCGATATGTCAATGTGTTAATGTTTGAGTTTGTTAACGTGTTGATCTGTCAGTATACCTATATGTCAATGTGTTGATGTTTGAGTCTATTAATGTAACAATATGTCAATGTGTTGATCTGTCAGTGTGTCGACATGTCAATGTGTTGATTTATGAATCTGTTAATGTGTTGATTTGTCAGTGTGTTGATATATGAGTCTGTTAATGTGTTCATCTGTCAGTATGTCAATATTGCAATGTGTTGATGTATCAATTCTGTTAAATTGTTCATCTGTCAGTGTTTCGATATTTCAATGTGTTGATGTATGAGCCTGTTGATGTATTGATCTATCATCGTGATGATGTATGTGTGTTAAAGTGTTGATCTGTCAGTGTTTCGATATGTCAATGTGTTGATGTTTGAGTCTGGTAATATGTTAATCTGTAAGTGTTTCGATATATGATGATGTCTGAGTCTGGTAATATGTTGATTTGTCAGTGTGTCAATATGTCAATGAGTCGATGAATGAATCTGTCAGTGTGTCAATATGTCAATGTGTCGATGTATGAGTCTGTTAATGTGTTGAAATATCAGTGTGTTGATATGTCAATGCGTTAATGTTTGAGTTTGTTAATGTGTTGATCTGTCAGTGTATCGATATGTAAATGTGTTGATGTTTGAGTCTGTTAACATGTTGATCTGTTGGTGTGTTGATGTTTGAGTCTGTTAACGTGTTGATCTGTTGGTGTGTTGATACGTCAGTGTGTTGATGTTTGAGTCTGTTAATGTGTAGATCTGTCAATGTGATAATACGTCAATGTGTTGATTTATGAATCTGTTAATGTGTTGATCTGTCAGTGTGTTGATATATGAGTCTGTTAATGTGTTCATCTGTCAGTGTGTTGATATGTCAATGTGTTAATGTGTTCATCTGTCAGTGTGTCCATATGTCAATGTGTTGATTTGTCAGTGTGTCGATATGTCAATGTGTTGATGTTTGAGTCTGGTAATATGTTAATCTGTAAGTGTTTCGATATATGTTGATGTCTGAGTCTGGTAATATGTCGATTTGTCAGTGTGTCAATATGTCAATGAGTCGATGTATGAATCTGTCAGTGTGTCAATATGTCAATGAGTCGTATATGAATCTGTCAATGTGTTGATTTATGAATCTGTTTATATGTGGATCTGTCAGTGTGTTGATGTATGAGCCTGTTAATGTGTTGATCTGTCAGTGTGTCGATGAATGAATCTGTCAGTGTGTCGATATGTCAATGAGTCGATGTATGAATCTGTCAGTGTCAATATGTCAATAAGTCAATGTATGAATCTGTCAGTATGTTGACATGTCAATGTGTTGATTTATTAATCTGTTAATGTGTTGATATGTCAGTGTGTCGATATATCCATGTGTTGATGAATGCATCTGTTAATGTGTTGATCTGTCAGTGTGTCGATATGTCAATGAGTCGATGTATGAGTCTGTTATTCTTTTAAATTGTTAGTGTGTCGATATGTCAATGTGTTGATGTATGAATCTGTTAATGTGTTGATGTCAGTTTGTCGATATGTCAATGTGCTGATGTATGAATTTGTAAAGGTGTTGATCTGTCAGTGTGTCAATTTGTTTATGTGTCGATGTATGAGTCTGTTATTGTGTTGATCTGTCAATTTGTGTATATGTCAATGTGTCAGTATATGAGTCTGTTAATGTGTTGATCTGTCAATTTGTCGATATGTCAATTTGTAGATCTCTCAATTTGTCGATGTGTAAAAAGCTTTTGAATTGTCAATATTTTAATATGTCAATTTGTTAATTTGTCAATTGGTCAATGTGTCGATATTTCTATGCGTCAATGTTTTAATTTGATACTCTTTTGATACCTCAATTTTGATATGATGATCTGTCAATGTGTCAATATGTCAATTGATTAATATGTTGATTTGTTAATAGGTCAACTGGTTAATGTGTCTATCCGTCTATGTGTCAATGTACTAATATGCCAAAAACTACTTATTCTGAATAATCCAGTTGAGCGGATGGCTGGATTTTAGCAATTCATTTTCCCCCTAGTCTCGTCAGAGTCGACATAAAAAGACACACAAAAGTCCATCAAAAACATTTAACATAAAACTGCAGATAGAGCACAAATCTCACCAAATATCAATGAGAACAATTATTGATCCACTAGTGGCGTCCATCAGTTTGTACTTGCAAAGAAACATTTCAATACGTAATTTCGTGATATGCTGTCCATTTATTTAATTCCTTTTATTATTCCACTCTTTGTGAATACTGATAGTTTATTTTAATGTGACATCCAATTTAGCTGAACTTGTATACATTATAGTTTAGGGCCAGCGAAAGCAGCCTCTTGGTGCGGGATTTTCTCGCTGTGTTATAGACCCATGGGTTGCCTTGGGCTGTTTAATGCTTTTTGGTCTGGTTGATGTCTCTTTGATGCATTCCCCATTTCCACTCACAATTTTAATTAAATATTTAATTGCTTGAGTTATATATAATAACTAAGTTTCAAGTTGATGTGACCACAAAGTACACGTTTTTTTCAAAACGTTAACTTGATACGGAGATAGACACACAAACAAGAAAACATCATGACTCTCTACTATTGTAGGCAGACCAATAAAACATCCATTTTCATTGTTTTAGGCAGAACCGTTATATCCCACTGTGGCGATACTCTCAGGAAAGTATAAATATAAACAAATCTTCGTATCTCTCTAAGGCAAAGAAATAAAAGCATACTGTCCAATATCTTATTGCATTTATCAAAATAATATGACTTATGTACCTTATTTAACGATCAGTGCATTATAATATAAACAATCATATGTTCATCCATAAACATCAATTCTTGATAGACATTATTCATTGTTATATGTATTTCGTTAAATTGGATGTGAATTATGTGAAAATGATGTTTAACCGTCACATGCTTTGTGAGAGGAACAAGTAGGAATGATATTGACGTCTCATGGCTTGTGAGGGGAACAAGTAAGAATGATATTGACGCCACATGCCTTGTGTGAGGAACAAGTAAGAATGATGTTGACACCACATGCCTTGTGTGAGGAACAAGTAAGAATGATATTGACGCCACATGCCTTGTGTGAGGAACAAGTAAGAATGATATTGACGTCACATGCCTTGTGAGAGGAACAAGTAGAAATGATATTGACGTCACATGCCTTGTGAGAGGAACAAGTAAGAATGATATTGACGTCACATGCCTTGTGAAAGGAACAAGTAAGAATGATATTGACGTCACATGCCTTGTGAGAGGAACAAGTAAGAATGATATTGACGTCACATGCCTTGTGAGAGGAACAAGTAAGAATGATATTGACGTCACATGCCTTGTGTGAGGAACAAGTAAGAATGATATTGACGTCACATGCCTTGTGTGAGGAACAAGTAAGAATGATATTGATATCACATGCCTTGTGAAGGGAACAAGTAAGAATGATATTGACGTCACATGCCTTGTGAGGGGAACAAGTAAGAATGATATTGACGCCACATGCCTTGTGAAGGGTACAAGTAGGAATGATATTGATGTCACATGCCTTGTGTGAGGAACAAGTAAGAATGATATTGACGTCACATGACTTGTGTGAGGAACAAGTAAGAATGATATTGACGTCACATGCCTTGTGTGAGGAACAAGTAAGAATGATATTGACGTCACATGCCTTGTGTGAGGAACAAGTAAGAATGATATTGATATCACATGCCTTGTGAAGGGAACAAGTAAGAATGATATTGACGTCACATGCCTTGTGAGGGGAACAAGTAAGAATGATATTGACGCCACATGCCTTGTGAAGGGTACAAGTAGGAATGATATTGATGTCACATGCCTTGTGTGAGGAACAAGTAAGAATGATATTGACGTCACATGACTTGTGTGAGGAACAAGTATGAATGATATTGACGCCACATGCCTTGTGTGAGGAACAAGTAAGAATGATATTGACGTCACATGACTTGTGTGAGGAACAAGTAGGAATGATATTGACGCCACATGCCTTGTGTGAGGAACAAGTAAGAATGCCAGTATGCAGATGACACATTCCTTATGTTAGATGGAAGGGAAATATCGTTGAGGGAAACACTTTCATGTTTTGAATCTTTTTATAAAATTTCAGGTTTAAAAATAAATGCTTCAAAGACAAAAGCACTATGGGTTGGAAACAAAAAGTATTCAGATATGATTCTTTGTCCTGACTTAAAACTTCATTGGTCACATTCAAATTTTAAACTTTTGGGGATTGAATTTTCTTTAGATTTAAACTGTATCACAGAAATTCATTTTGCCAAGAAGATTAAAGAAGTCTCTGCAATCCTGAAGAGCTGGCAACATCGTAAACTAACATTATTGGGGAAAATTACAGTAGTTAAATCACTTGCTCTTTCAAAATTGGTACACTTAATGACTGCATTGCCAAACCTATCACAATCCAGGTTAACAGAGCTCACTTCATTATTTTATAATTTTATATGGAGTGGAAAACCAGACAGAATTAAGCGTAACACACTTATTGGTGATATTTCACAAGGTGGACTTAATATGGTACATCTTCATTCCTTTAATATCTATTTAAAAATTAGTTGGATAAAAAGACTGATGTCAAACCCAGTTGGTGGCTGGCAGCAGTTGTTACTTGCAGACCTTATACAGTATTGGGGTGAAAGGGTTTTTACATCTACAGAAAGAAAAGCTGATTGAGATTTCTAAAAAATGTAAAAATCCGTTCTGGAAGGATGTTTTACTATGCTTTTCTATCGCAAAACCTAATACTGAGAATTCTGTCAGTGACATTTTATCATTAGATATTTTGAACTTTTCTTCTTTGGATGATTTCCCATATTATATTCAATGGAAACAAGGAGGTGTGCAGTCAGTAAGTGACCTAATTAATAAAGAAAATATGAATTTTTATAAATTTGAGCAATTTCAAGAAAGAGTAAAAATCAACAATTTTATCAAATATCATGGTCTGATTTCAAGAATCCCTCAGACTATGAAAAAATACCTTAAAGAGAACTGTTTAAAGCAAGATTTGGATAAGCCTGATAATGGTGATATTTTTTTAAAGAGAATTATAGGTAATGTGAAAGCCAAATTTGTATATAAAAATTTAGTAAATAAAGTTATTGAACTACCAACAGTCAAGTTTTCGAAATGGGAAGAACTGTTGATTATTGATACAACAGAATGGTCAGAATATTTCAGGATAACCAAAAAATCATGTAGAGATGTTTATTTAAGAACTTTTCAATACAAATTTTTGCATAGAATCATAGCAACTAATACCTTTTTATACAAAATTAAATTAAAAGACACCAAGATGTGTACTTTTTGTAAACTTGGTGAAGAAACTATTGAACACCTTTTTTTTGAATGCCCAATAACTTTTCAATTGTGGCAGTCTTTTTCAAATGCAGTAAAACTTTTTTTTGTAAACTTTGTTCTTAACAAAGAGAATGTGTTTCTTGGTTGCAAACATGAAAGTTTATTACTGAATCTGTTAGTCATAATTACAAAAAACTATATATACAAATGTAAATTAAATGAAACAAAACCAAATATGGTTGGGTTAAAGAATAGAATAAAGAAATACCAATTTCTTGAATATTATATTGCAAAGAAAAATAATAGAGTCCAAGTGTGTGAAAAATTTTGGTCTCCTTTACATGTAATATTTAATTAATTATTGTTTCATATAAGTGAGAGAATAAAATATCTATATATCATGAGCAAATATTTAGCCTTGAGTTTTTTTTGTTTTTTTTCTTCTTTAAAATATTTTGTTTTTAAAATGTAAGTCAAGATACATCATGTACATATTGTAGCAAAACAAATGAGTGAAGAGTATTTGTATTGTATGAGAGAAAGTCAGAGAGCGAGAGAATATAATCAAATAAAATTTATATGTAACCTTAAATACCACATGTATAATTATAAAAATCAACTTGTCAGTGATATATATTGTATACCGAATTATTTTTTATATGTAACCCCTTGATACCCTTGTCAGGTGGTAGTGTAGGGGTACATGTATATTAAATCCTGACTATTGAAAAACAAATAAAAGATAAAAAAAAAAAAAAAAAAAAAAAAAAAAAAAAAAAAAAAGAATGATATTGACGTCACATGCCTTGTGTGAGGAACAAGTAAGAATGATATTGACGTCACATGCCTTGTGTGAGGAACAAGTAAGAATGATATTGACGTCACATGCCTTGTGTGAGGAACAAGTAAGAATGATATTGACGTCATAATAATGCCTTGTGAGAGGAACAAGTAGGAATGATATTGACGTGACATGCCTTGTGAGAGGAACAAGTAAGAATGATATTGACGTCACATGCCTTGGGCCACAATTAAAAATATTTCAGTTTGCCCAAACCCGACCCATGATGACTGGGTGTGGGTAGGTAGGTAGGCAAATTCTTTTTTTTTTATCAGAATTTGCACTAAAATATTAAATAAAAAATAAAGTTTTAAAACAGTTTCTTTTGTGTTTATATGATCAAACTGATGATGGAGTTTTACTTTAAATAACCCTCGATGTTTACACAGGTGAAGTTTCCCATGTTCTATTTTAAGCCTCGAGGTCATAAAATGTCAAACAGGTAATTGTAAAAACATGACCATTCTATCCCAAAAGGTGTTAATTATTGATTGGATTTTAAAAACAATAAGTCTAGGTTAGTCTATGGAAAGGTATATACTATGAAATTTAGAGCGAGGGGCTTGCCCCGAGCTCTTAATTTCATAGTATATACCTTTTCATAGACTATCCAGTTTAGCACATATTTACAACTCGAGTAATCTTTTAATTGGGTCTATTGATAGTTTATTTTGGCTGACTACTTGTATCACAGGTGTTTGTAAAACGGAGCTCATTAACGAAGTTTTGTAAATCTGCTCACTAGTATCATTGTAAAATATGTGATTTCCAAAGGCCCTTCACTCCAGAATGAAAAGATGGTAGCTGCTGGTGTAAGTACATGTATACTGATATAAAGCGGTATTTTACTATACATGTTCTTCTTACATTGTAAGATGACAAAATAAATTGACCAAAAGCAGGCAATAATTAAATTGCAGTGGAAGCTTTACATGTTTTGAAAACATTTTTTAATTTCACAGTAAAACTAAAGCTATAATAAATTTGAAACATATAGATAGTTTGTCCCCATAGACATAGTCTAGCAGATAGGCATTAAAAAGCAACTACCAATAGATCAGAGATTATAGGTTTTGTGTTTTGTGTTTTTTTTTTTATTATTTCAAAGTAAAAACTAAAAGATTTATCAGAATATGTTTATATATATATATATAGGTGGCACATTATCTTCAGACATAATCATAGTTTTTCAATTCATGACATCGTCCCGTACATGCATGAAATATTTGCCACTGGACATTAAGCAACCAATAATCAATAAATCAATCAATGCATGACGAAATAAATCACCTTCCGTAAGAAAGTTTAAAAAATTATCACCAAGTTGCTTTAATTTTCCTTCACAAGGTTTCATAGTACACACTTTTCTGTGTACAAAGTAATTGCATGGATGATACATCATCATAATTTTAAGATATGGTTGTACTCTAATCAAGGTATAAAGAACCATATGTCTTATCCTTTATTTAAATGATAAAATTTGCATTTGTCAAAGACATGTTTTAGATCCAAAGATTTCAATAGCAGGATATTTAAAAATCAACGTGAAAACTAATTACAAACTATTTAATTTAATTTTGAACACAGCATTTTATTTCAAAATAGCCAGTGGCAATTTTTGTTTTAAATATCTTGATTACTATACAATGAAATCTTACCCTTGTGGTCATTCATGCGTAGTTACTTTAATAGTACACAGGAAAAGTATGTACTATAAAAATTAGAAGGCAAATATAAGCAATTTGATTGGACGAGAAGTTGTTAGTATGTGCTAACGCCTGCTAACTTACTTTGAAAGACCATCCAATGTGTACTCTAGCAATTCGGCTTGGGGTGATTTGAATTTATGTTAAACATTACAGGGCATTTACATATGGTTGAAGAATTTTATTCGTCAATCTTTTATTTTTATTATTTTTGGAAAAGAGCATTCATTTCTAATTATTATATTTTCACACGTTCAACACTAGTGTCCAGCAAATAACCAGTACAGGGCCCCTTTACTGCTTTGCATATAGGAAACTAAGGAGGTTAAAGAAACAGTGTTACATCACTGTGCAAGCGGTAAATACTGCACATCAAAGGCAGTTCATTACACATTTATTGTTAAAAATTATAATAAACTGTGTAGTATAGTTGAACAGTTTATTTTAATCAAAGCGTAATGATGTACATTGTACATACGGGTCATAGAAACAAATCTATTTTTAGAACACTTTGTTCTAATTTTGTATCCCAGGTAAAGGAAACGTCGGTACGCAAATAAACTAAAACAAAATGTGTTTATTAACTTTATTAAAAGAATACAAAAAACAATAACATGAATAACACTAGACTTATAACTTTTATTAGAATAAATCAACATTCAACATGCTGTAAGTGGATTATGGCCGTTCATCTTTCTTCAGGGATTTCCTTACTGTCGATGTTATTTGACTCCGTAATTTGGCATTTTGGATTTAAGCATAATTTTGTCTAACAAATAGGCTATGCAAATAACCGGAATCGACTGTATTTTTTTCCCCCGTCAAACCTTTGTAGAGACGATCAAAAGCCATGAAAAACTGTCTGCCATTTTCACACGTTTTACTTCTTTACGTTTGTTAAATCAGAAGATAAATCTTACACGCTTTCTTTTAATCTTATTCACAGTTACTTTCAAACGCAAAGACGACAAACATTAAGTTTTATACGATGATGGAGCGGACACGAAAAAAATCCGAAAAAAAAAAAAATTCTTCAAAAAACGGCAAAAAAAGAATTTGAGTCGGCGGTTTTTATTTGGGTCGGTCGCATTTGGGCAAACATACAATATTTTTATTTTGGCCTTGTGAGAGGAACAAGTAGGAATGATATTGATGTCACATGCCTTGTGAGGGGAACAAGTAAGAATGATATTGACCTCACATACCTTGTGAGAGGAACAAGTAAGAATGATTATCAAAAATATATTCAACAGGTTGAGGAAAGTATAAATTGGATGAGAATGGTTCTAAGGTTAATGTGATCTGTAATCAATCAATCTTCATCAATAACCTACTTCACTTTTCCCATCAATTTGTTGGGGTTTTTTTTCATTTTTTTTCATTATAACATTATAAGCAGATATCAAGGTTTCCATAAATAAGAAACAAGTAATTATAAATCATTTCAGCTGGTATCTGAATAATTAACCTTAGATGATTACCTTCAACTACTGGTGCTGCAGGTTCCTGTAAATGGGTGTCAGGAGTTACTTCTGGGGATGTCTTTGACATGACAGTCTACAAAAGAAAAATATGCTATAAACTATCATGCCCCATGTGAAAACTTGTCAAATACTTTAATACATCTATCTTAAAGGCCCACTTTTGCAAATGAAAATAATGATTTTAAGAAAAATTTCAAATTTGTCCATAATTTGAACATAATGTTTTTAAAATGCATATAAGATCAAGAAATACCCTCGTCAGACACATTATTCTTTATGGAGAAGCTGGGAATACATATTTTCAAGTTGTCGGTTCGACCAGGCTGGTGATACAACCCACACTACCTGGCACTTGAGTTGTGTGACGGTGACTTTGGTCATAAATCTTAATACCCAAATATGGGACAAATAATATTTTACTAATGTTTTGTAATGTTCTGTCCTTTTTCAGGTAATTTATATTCTTATTTATTTGTTTTTATTTTTTTCAGAAGCAGTTATTGCCAAGTTCGAAAACAGTAGTGTTATCAACCATAATCATAATTGAGAAAATGCATCATTTCTTAAAGTATGTTTTTTTCATATTCGTTTTTATTTCTCCCATTGTTTAATTGCAAAAAAAAAGCACAAATTCAGGTTTTAGGCTTCAATCTGGCAATATGTGGCTTTTTTGCCAAAAAAAAAATATGTTGAAATGGATGCAATTTGGCTACCTTTATTTGGAATGATCAGTTTAGAAAAAAAATGATTTTTGTGATTCACTGTTTTTTGCTCTAAAGGTGTCAGACCACCATTCAAAATCCCTATCTATTCCAACAAGTTTTTCAATTTTCACAGCTTTCTAATTTTTTTACCATAAAGTATAACTTCATAGAAAGCATGTATATCCTGAAATGTACATGTATCACCTTTCTACATGCCAATTTTCAATTCACGTTTAAAGTCTTGTAATAAAATACCAACAATCCGAAAGTAAATGCTACTAAAAATAGCCCCTGGTTTTCTGGAAATCTTTAATAAATATAGTATGGAATGCATTAATCCTAAATTTTTAATGCAAACTCATGAACAAGAAAATTTTGTCTCAAAATAGACTAAATATCATGAAATATATTTCTCTTTCACCAAAAGTTTCATTTCTGCAAATTTTTTGGTTAGTTTAAGAAAACAGTGACATCAAAAGAACCATATTTTTTTAGGGAAGGACTAATTTTACATATGTTCTAAATTTGATTGGGTGAAAAGGTGGTCTGACACCTTTACCACATGTTTCCTCGCCACAGTAACCATCTAACATCTATGCCATATAACATGTGAGTAAAATTTACCGCAAACTGCCTATTGAATAATGATGTAATTTATTTGTTTTTGTATGTAATTAAACAAGAGGCTTTCAAGAGCCTGAATCGCTCACCTGTGATTTTTTGCTTAAATCTTTCATCAATGATTATTTTTGCTTTTCAATATATATTAATGAATGGCTTAAAACTTCCATTGAAATGTTCTTTGCATCTGTCATATTTTCTTCAAAATCAAAGAAATGCATTTTACCCCTATGTTTCATTTTAGCCATAGTCGCTATTCTTCTTGACGTACAAGAAAATAAAATACAAAATTTACACTAGATACTCTGAAACTCATTCAGTCCAAGTTTGGCTGAAATTGATTCAGTAGTTTCAAAGGAGAAGATTTTTAAAGTAAGCAAACTAAATGAACAAATTGTGAAAAATTGATTTTAAAGGGCAATAACTCCTTAAGGGGACAATTGACAATTTTGGTCATACGAATTTTAACCTCAACGTTCTATTTTTAGCCATGGCGGCCATGTTTTTTTACAAAACAGAAAATAAAACACAAACTTTATTCTAGATACCCTTAGAATCATTAAGCTTAAATTTGGTTGGAATTGGTTCAGTAGTTTCAGAGAAGATTTTTTAAAGTTAGAAAACATGATGAACAAATTGTGTAAAATTGTCCTTAAAGGGCAATAACTCCTTAAGGGGACAATTGACAATTTTGATCATATGAACTTATTTGTAGATCTTACCTTGCTGAACATTTTTGCTGTTCACAGTTTATCTTTATCATTAATAATATTCAAGATAATAACCAATAAAATGGGTGCAGCTTGATACGACCGAGGAGGTCGAACCCTGAACAGTTGGGGCAAGTATGGACACAACATTCAAGCTTGATACAGCACTAAATTTGGATTGTGATTAAATATTTGACACAGCATAGGTTTCTGACACAGAATGAATGTGGTCTAAGAACTTAAAAATTTTTAATTTACCTATTCAAACCAAATCATTAATATTTGCTTTTATATATAAATCAGAAATAACCAATTTAAAATTGAAAATTTTAAACAAAAAAAAATGAAAAAAAAATCCCCCGTCAAATTTTTTGAACCCCCTTATGATTTATCACCCCCAAACTCAATCCCAACCTTCCCTTTGTGGTATGGTACCTTGCAGTACAATTTCAGAGAGATCCGTACACTTGAACGCAAGTTATTGTCTGGAAACTAGAAAAATGCTTGTTTTTTTGGATCCAAATTCCTAAACGTTTAGGGCAATTACCCCCAAACTCAAAACCAGCTTTCCCTTTGTGATATGGAACCTTGTAGTACAATTTCATAAAGATCCATACACTTACACACAAGTTATTGTCCTGAAACTAGAAAAATGCCCCTTTTTTGCCCCTAATTCCTAAAATTTTGAGGCAATAACCCACAAAATCAATCCCAGCCTTCCCTTTGTGGTATGGTACCATGCAGTACAATTTCAGAGAGATCCATACACTTAAACACAAGTTATTGTCTCGAAACTAGAAAAATGCTTATTTTGGCCCCTTTTTGGCCCCTTTTTCCTAAACGTTTTCGGCAATTACCCCCAAACTCAATTCCAGCTTTCCCTTTGTGATATGGAACCTTGTAGTACAATTTCAGAAAGATCCATACACTTACACAAAAGTTATTGTCCTGAAACTAAAAAAATGCTTGTTTATTTTGCCCCTTTTTGGCCCCTAATTCCTAAAATTTTGAGGCAATTACCCACAAAATCAATCCCAGCCTTCCATTTGTGGTATGGTACCTTGCAGTACAATTTCAGAGATATCCATACACTTGAACACAAGTTATTGTCTGGAAACTAGAAAAATGCTTATTTTTGGCCCCTTTTTGGCCCCTTATTCCTAAACGTTTTGGGCAATTACCCCCAAACTCAATTCTAGCTTTCCCTTTGTGATATGGAACCTTGTAGTACAATTTCAGAAAGATCCATACACTTACACACAAGTTATTGTCATGAAACTAGAAAAATGCTTGTTTTTTGCCCCTTTTTTTGCCCCTAATTCCTAAAATTTGGAGGCAATTACCCCCAAAATCAATCCCAGCTTTCCCTTTGTGATATGGAACCTTGTGGTACAATGTCAGAGAGATCGATACACTAACACACAAGTTATGTCTGGAAGTTACAAAAACGGTTATTTTTGACCCCTTTTTGGCCCCTAATTCCTTAACTGTTGGTTCCATAACCCCCAAAATCAATCCCAACCTTCCTTTTGTGGTATTGAACCTTATGGTAAAATTTCATAGAGATCCATTCACCTAAACTAAAGTTAGAGTGCGAAAACCAATGTGTCTTTGGACGATGACCACGACGCCGCTGCCGCTAAACGTCATACCAATATACGACATTTTGCAGTCGTATAAAAACTGCAAAATTTCCTTAAAATTACAAATTTAGTGGCAGCAACCCAACAATGGGTTATCAGATTCAACTGAAAATTTCAGGGCTGATAGAACTTCACCTAATGAACACTTTAACCCCCATGTCAGATTTGCTCTAAATGCTTTGGTTTTTGAGATATAAGCCAAAAACTGCATTTTACCCCTATGTTCTATTTTTAGCCATGGCAGCCATGTTATTTGACGAAACAGTAAATAAAACACAAACTTTATTCTAGATACCCTAAGCATCATTCAGCTGAAGTTTGGTTGGAATTGGTTCAGTAGTTTCAGAGGAGAAGATGTTTGAAATAGTTTACACCAGACGGACGACGACAGACGACGACGGACCACAGACGCCAAGTGATGGCAAAAGCTCACAGTTCCTTCGGAACGGTGAGCTAAAAAGGTTGTGCAGGAAAGTAAACGTTACAGAGTATACTCATTTCATAGAGGTTTTATCTATGTAAACGGTGGCCTTGCCTACCTCCTACATACTGAAAGGTTTAAAATCTATACACAGGTTGACAGCATACTAAACAGTGCATTTATTTTTAATGTATGATTATTACATTCCAACTCAAGCTACAAAGGGAGAGGTGGATGTGGTTCGAAACATTTATCGGGGTGGATACAGAGGAGACCGTCATGGTGGACACTAATATTATACTTTATTGCTTTATTTAATAAAACATTTTATTCACAAGTAATAATCTGAAGCACTTAAGATTGTAACAAGTACATATATATATTTCTAATTTAGTAGTTAGCCAAGTTGATTTATTAAAGGTTGACATTGTATATTAATTTAGCAAAGAGCCACTTGTTATTTTTTTTTTTGTTCCTTATTATTTTTCAAGTTTTATCGCATACTCTTTTTATTATGAGTGAAGGGCCTTTTTTTAAGAGTAAAACAGTGTAATTGTAAAATTATTTAATAATATCATAGTGAAACTCAGTTTAACTCTATAGATTTTGATACAATGCCCAGAAGAAATTATTAAAGTATTCATACCTTGACTTTTTGTGCTTGGAATGTTGGAGGGCTTAATTCAAAAACATATAATAAGCTTCAAGATCACAACCTTATCAATCAAGTAAACAGTTATGATAGTATACTTTTATGTGAAACTCACATCGGATACAATACATAAATCGATATTGAACGGAAGACTTTAAGTATTTTCCTGTATGAAGACCTCAGTCATAATATCAGAGATTTTATTGGGGACTTGGCATACTTATCAATAACAATATTCCAAAAGGGGTGAACATTTTAGAAAACACTTGCAACGACTATCAAATTGGTTCATAATTGATAAAGATTTTTTTAACTTTGCGAA